ATTTTGTCCCTCTGATGTTAATTTATGTATGGAGAAGGGAAGATGCTAGAGTTGAGGATCTTCTTGTTCTCTCTCCTTCTCCAGGCTTGGCAGTCCAGAGAAGCGTCATGAAAATGAGAAGCCGCCTCTGGAGGAAGAGAAGAAGGAGAAAATAGAGCTGAAGTCCATTACTTCTGATGGGGAGACCAACACTGCTACAAAGGTACATAGAGACACACAAAGACTCAGTAAGAATATGTGTGTGTGTGTTCAAAGGAGTGAGAAAAAATGAACGAAATCTCATACTTCTCCTTTTCAGATTAACATGGATGACTGCTGTGGGGATGAGAGCGAAGAGAAGAATCCATATCCCGCCAATGATTATATAGGTAACACACACCACAGCCATAAATATTATGTGTTCTTATAGGTATAAGGTAAGAGGTGGAGAATTTTGTCTTTGTTATTATAAAAAACAGTTAGTTACTAACATTATATTCCTTCTTCCCCCTTTCCTTCTTTATCTTACTCTCCTCTTTACCGTTCCTCCTAATCAGGAGATGAAGACGATGATGAGCCAGAGATGCCTGTGGGCCCGAGGCCACGGCCCCTCTCTGACATTCAGCTGAAGGAGAAGGCTGTCCCCATGCCTGAGGCCCGAGCTTTCTTTATCTTCAGCCACACCAACAAGTAATCTTCCTCTCCAACTTCATTTTCTCCGCCCAATATTTCAGTCAGCTTCTGCTGTATTGGTTTTGGCATCCTTTTCCTTTAAAGAGACAAGATGAAAACATTTTGCTTTCTTTCTCTCTTGCACTTTGTTTTGTAGGTTCAGGGTTCTCTGCCATAAGGTTGTCAACCACAACATCTTCACCAACCTCATCCTCTTCTTCATCCTGCTCAGCAGCATCAGTCTAGCGGCAGAAGACCCTGTCAAAAATGACTCCTTCAGAAATAAGGTAGCATATAAGTGATATAACGCCCGTCTACTCGATTTGAGCGCATCCATAGACTGCTTTTATCTATACTTAAGCACTTTTATCTAACACACTCTAACACACACACACACATTCACACACACTCTCACACTTCAATTAATTAATCTGGGGCAAATCAGGGTTCAGTATCCACAGCAGTATTTCGGCAGTATATCTAACGACCTTATGATTACTGGATGACCAGCTCTACTGCCTGAGCCACATGAAAAAAACCCATATATAACTGTATAAATAAAGTATATAAAGACATACAATGCCGGATGTACAGTAAGGCACAGTAGCCATAATTAGATGCCCACACGCACACTCATTCTGACCTAAATGGATTATAGCTATAGAGGAACCAAAGCTTATTGTGAGTGGCCCGTTACACTTAATGAGATTTTGTCTCGAGTACTGTAACTGTTACTAACTTCATGTTAAGAAGATATGAAACGCCTCTTAAGCTTTGCTCTCTTTTAAACTGTTTTATTAGCCAAAAAGAAAAATGAGTAGTTATTGTATCATTGTGTACACATACAGTGTGAAAATATATTTATGAGGGTGTTTTTTGTGTTGAAATGAATGTATTTACTGTTTTAGTGTTTGCACAGTCTGTTTTGACAATGTGTAAGAAGTTCTTATGCAGCAGCGGAGACTTCGTGTTTAGCCTCAAGGCGAGCTGTGAAACCGCAACATTTTCAGTTACTTTGCAGTATACGAAGGATATATCTGCAATTGTACTCGCTGTGTGACATCAGCCCGTTGTTCGTAAATTAATGTGGTGTTTATGAATGTAATGGAGCTGTAGTCTAATGCAAACACCATGTGTGCTGCTGTATCTGTTTTTGTGCACAGTTTCCTGTCTCAGTCAGTGAGACGTATTCCTCAGAGGCCAATAAAGATCTGTTTTATTATATTTCCCCTGGCTTTGGTATAGGATCCTATTATATATTCTATTAGTCTAAACCAATTAACCTTAGTCTGAAACAGTAATGAAATCAAACAACCTGTTTTTCAGATTTTCCAGCATTTCTATTTTAGTTCATTTGGACCTGAACATTATTATTATTTCAGTAAGTTGTGGAGTCATTTATGTTATGCTGCAGCTGACCGTAAGTCCTGCTTTTTCCC